TAGTGTGTTCTAAAAACATTGCTTTAATTGTTTTACCCAAGGTTCTGCAGTATAATTTGAGCAAAATTTATTAATATATAATTTATGTAAACATATTGAAAACTCACAACACCACAAAACTTACTAAAAGAAACACTAATAAATGAAAGAATGAAAATTTAATAAACCCTTATTTTTAAGGTAACAAGCATTTCTGTGTGGGGATTAGAACTCAGAGCCTACCTGGTATCTGAGAGTTCATTCAAGGAATTCATGGACACAGAAATGTTTCATAGAATTCAACTCATGTCTGGATATGGACTTCTCTGTTAGTTAACCATTTAAGACTGTTGAAACCATCTCACTGATAGACTGGATGACCAAAATGTCCCATAAGGCAGTGAATTTCCTCTATCTATGTCATGTGTTCAGTGTTTATGTATTGCTATACATTCCCTAATAATTGCATTAGGAGAAAAATAATACACCGTAGTAGTAAGATATTGCCTTTGTTTTCTGAGACTGTCTCACACTGTAGCCACAGCTGTCCTAGAATCACTGAGTAACCTGACTGTGGCCCACTACCGACGATGATCTCCACCCTAGCCTGTCACATCCTGAGATTACAGGCTTCGCTACCATGATGTTCTTCGACATAGTTCTCCTTTAAAAAGATGCTCTGTATGTGTGGACTAAGGAATCCTTTGGTGCTTGGCATGATTTTAGTCACATTCATCAGAATATTTTGTCTGCATTTTTGTTGTTCCAGATCAGGTAGTGCATCGTTACCTCTGGATGGTGGAGATTCTGTCCTCCTCATTCTCTTGCTCAGTGACAGCCAGCCATCTATCATAGAGGCTGTATGGGAATACACCTCCTGGGATATTTCGCAGGAAATCCTTACAGAGAATAATAATAAATATTAATCTTGTAGAAAATGTATACTGGAAAATTACTGATAAAATCCTCAGCTGAAGAATTCAGCTTAGACCTCAATCCCTCCAAAGCTCCCCAAGCCTGCACCCCGCACAAAACTTTGTCTGTAACCTGCTGAGTGGCACAGCAGAGGGGGTTTGGATTTACTGGACTGAAACTGGAGCGCTAAGGGCGGAGTCTGGGTGGGGGTGGGGATGAAGATGGAGCTCTTCTCAGGTCAGACTTCCTCTAGGATGTTTACACAGTCAAGTACCAAGTGAGACATGCTGATGTACTAGTTCAAAATCGATTATTTTCAACGAAAGAAACACGTACACTCTGTTTATTCCTTTTGAATGCTGTTTTCACCCCTAGTCAGAAAGGTTCTGGAGCAAGCGCTGTGAACGCTGTCTTGAACACACATGGAGTGAGGGCTGCTTCATTGGTAGAGAGGAAAAGTGTCACTTTGTAAAAGTGATGATTACATCATAAATTAGCAAATCTGTCTCCTAAGATCTATGTAGCTGGGGCAAGCTTGGCAGCATGCACCTGTAATTCCAGAACTCAGGAAGCTGAGGCAGGATGAGCTCAACTTAGAAGTCAGCCTGACTTCCACAGAGAAAAAAAAAAAAAAAGGAAATAATGAGAGAAGCTTTAACCTTAATTTGTATCTTCAATGACAAGATGATTTCCTGGTGGGTTGTTAGCTTTGTTACAGATACCCTGTTTATGCTGGTCCTTCTAAATATTGCCGAAATGCTTAGTACTTAGTAGCTCAAGCAATGCCCCCGTGTTAATTGCCATGATTATGTAATTTAGTAACTGCTCATTCGTAATAGTAATTTTGAGCTGATGGTATGTAAGGATGGAAGGTTAAATGAACAACACCAGACTTCATTTACAATTAATATGACATGGGCACACAAAACCCACTGTGGAAGTTATGGTTGTACCACTTTTTTCCCCATCGGAGGTCCCAGTGTCTGGAGCCAGACTACGCTGTAGCCATGGCACCTTCTGAGAGTTTTGGAGGCATCAGTTGTAATTTTGCATCATGTGACACACATAAATGCTCTGAAATCATAGATCCCTTCTCTGGCTTCTTAGGGCATGACACCAGAGTGCACTGATGAGACAGGAAATGATTCTATAACTTGATCCAAGAAAATTATTCCATGGAATGTACCATTGGGCCACTGCTTATGAACATCTCGGTGGCAAGTTCAGTGTGCTCCTGACTGAATACTCATTTGTAATTTATGCAAATTCTTTAGGATTGGGCATGCTATTATGAAGGCCTTGGTTAGAAAACATGATGGTAGGCAACTGAAGTCTTGTTATAAAATAAATCAAGTTCCTGTGTGTACCTCAGAGAGAGCAGCATCCCACTTCTTTGAATACCTAACATAGGATACTTTTCTGTGACTATCCATTTCTGAACATCCAGTATACATCATGAAGCTAAATGATATGTAACAGAGATCCTTAATTTCATAGATCTTTTTGAAGTCATTACCACATTATCACATATGTTGGAGTTGTTAAAAATCACCAGGATGGGTTGATTCCTTTTCTGCTCTAAAATTTCCCCTTCTCTAATTTTACATAGAAATCTGTGATTTCAGTTTATCTTTTTAAAATTGTTATTTTTTGTTTTGTAGAAATCAATTAAAATATCAGAATTCCTAAAGCTATTGCCTATTTCATGCAGGTTAGAATTTGGACTCATAAAAACAGGTTTGAAAATGAAGATCCTCCTGTGTGTCAGGACCCTGTGGGCGTTTGGAATGTTGGACAGCTGCAAAGGACTCCCGAGGCTGCGAAGGTGACGGGGAACAGGCGGTGCCGAGAAGGAGGGCCAGTTCAAAGTAAAAGTGTTCGAGATGGGATGGAAAGGATGCAAAGCAGGAAACTCCATGTTCCCTCGAGCAGACTTCATTGATTGTAGCTATTTTCTAAATTTAAATTTTATAGTGTTGGAAATTTTGTCTTCATGAGAAAGACAGTGTTGAACTCAAAGTCAGGATGCCTAGTTTGTTAGGAATTCAGCAAAATAAGTCTATACTTTACAAAATACTTACTATTACAAATTTTGGTATGATTATGACTGAGTTGTTCCAGAGTGAAATTGAAAGGGTGCTATGAGGTTGCAAAGTAAAAGAGGTCTGGCATATGGTGCTCTGAGCCTCGGTGGGTGATTCCTATAGTGCCACCACTCAGACAGTTTATGTGCTGTACCTGTGGTGCACTCAGAGGCTTAGACCTTTGAACACTTGGTCCTCGGTGCTGGCACTGTCTGGGAAGGTGGTGTGGCTATTCCTGGAGCAAATATGCCTGGGGTCACTCTGAGGGTCCATGGCATTGCCCCACTCCACGTCCCTGTCTCTGCTTCCTGCTCCTGTCACCAGCCATGTCCCCCTGCCAGGATGGACTCTTATCCTCTGGAACTGAAGCCAGAATAAACTGTACATGATGTTTATCTCATTGACAAAAAGTAACTAACTGGGTAGTAGGTACCAGACAGTGGGATGTTGCTCTCAAACCTGATTATGTTGTTTTTCAGAAGAATATGAGGAGAAGTCTCTGGACCTTAAGCTACAAAAGCTACAGAACGCTAGCTGAACCTAAGGGGTGATTCTGCTAGATGCTTGGAACTACGAGAGGATAAGGATGATGGAGGCCTCACTCAAGGTACCAGTGGGAAAAATAACAGCTACTGGGTTAGAAGACATGCTTGTGACATTCTGTAGAAGAATCTGGCTGCCTTCTGTCCTTGTCCTACTAATTTGCCTGAGGGCAATTAAAAATTAACGTACCCATTTTTTTGGTGGAGGAAATATGACAGACAGAATATTACTGAATCTGTGATGTGGTTTTTGGTAATAATGCTTAAGGGGGTCTGCAATGATGAAGAGAAAGCAGGAGAAGATGGTATGAAACACAGGGCTGGAGAGAAAAGCGGGTGGGGAGCTTACTTGTCATAGCTCCAATGGTCAGGGATATTCCCCTGTTAAGGAGAGGCCTCCTGCTTGGCATGGAACAATAGGGAAGGCTCTGTAACAGCTAGGGCCCCCAACTGTGCCTCCAGCATCCTCCCTTCCAGCATCCCCCTTCCAGGATCTGAAAAAAAAGCTCTGCTGCTGCTGGGCTTCAAGGGCCTTGTTGATTCCATCCCAAACTGGCAGCAGGCCATGGCAATGACCACCAGGTGGCGCTACCTTTAGAGGCATGAAGGATCCAACGGTGAGGACTTGTGTCTGAAATATCATCTTCCCACGATATTTCAGACAGCTGATGCCATTGCGTGTGGCAGAGGAGTTCCTGTGTGAAGGTCCTGAGAGGGCAAGGGGCTGTGAGAGAGAGGAGACGGGAGAGGAGAGAGAGAAAGAGGAGAGAGAGAAAGGGGAGAGAGAGAGGAGAGGGAGAGGGAGAGAGAGACTTGCAGAGGCTGTGGATGTGAAACCTGGGCTGCAGTGGAGCTGGGGATGCTAGAGCCAGGTGAGATCTGCCAAGGAGAGCTACAACAGGGGTCACAGGAGAGACAGCGGCAGGTTTCAGGCAGAAAAGCTGGAGGGGTGGAGCTGCCTTAGCCCAATGAAGCTGGAGTACCAGACATGAGGGGACACAGTGCTACCGGATTTCTCTCTTTCCCTGCCAGAGTTTGGTCTTTCTTTAGTCCAGTGTTTTCTCATTACGTCCTCATGCTCCCTGTTGGAATGGTATTCTGTGACATTGCATGTTTGATGCATGTGATTTGTCTCTTGATTTTAAAGGAGTCTAAAATTAAAAGATGCTCCGAGTCTTAAGAGAATCTCTGACTTTTGAAGGAATAAACTGTAAATGACAGTGGTGACAAGGATGTTGGACTGTTTGCATTACCATGTGGACATAAGACCGTGGCGCCTAGATGGCCAAATGTGGTGCTTTGAATTAATATGTCCCAGTAGGCTCAGGCACTTGAACACTTGTTCCTAGTTAGTGGCACTGTTTGTGGAGGGGGTGCAACCTTGCTGGAGGGATATGTCACTGACAGTCCATAGCCTCCCCCGACTTCCAGTGTCCTGACTCTGCTTCAAGGTTGAGGCTACAGATGTTGTTTCCAAGCTTCCTGCTCCAGCGGCCGTTCCTTCCTTCTGTGATGGACACGCACCCCTCTGAACTGTGAACCAAAGTAAACTCTTTCTTTTGTAATTTGCCTTGGTCCTGGAGCCTCATCCCAGCAATGCAAAAGTAAACAATGCCATCCTGTTGTCACTCTCGGGCAATCGTAATTAAATGGTTCACGCGCAGCTTCAGAGAAATGATGATCGTGGATGATGCCAGACTCTACCTTTAAAACAGATGCCACAACGAGGATGGATTCCTCCCTTAGATTTACATCCTTTCCCAAATCCAGCTTCTCCTTCAGTGTTTGGCAGGAGGCTGCATTGGCTGACTTTCTAAATATTCCTTCCACATCAGGTCCGTTTTCATTCAGAAGGGACAGCATATCCTGAGGGGAAAAGACAAGCACCTGTCATTATAAAGCCACACTTGCAGAGCTCAGTGTGAGTCTTCCTGAGAACCAGAGCAATGGGGTGTGGGGTGGTTTGAAAGAGATTGGTCCCCATGGTTCAACTGCTTTCTGGCCAGGGAGTGGCACTATTTGAAAGGCTTAGGAGGTGTGGCTTGTTGGAAATAATGTGTCACTGGGGTTGGGATTGGAGGTTTCAAAAGCCCATGTCAGGCCCACTCTCTCTCTCTTCCTGCTGCCTGTGGATCTAGATGAAGGATCTCAGCTCCTTCTTCACCACCATGTCTGCCTGCACGCACCCATGATGATAAAGGACTAAACCTCTGTAGTGTAAGGCAACCCAGTTAAGAGTTTTCCTTTATAAGGGTTGTCGTGAGCATGGTGACCCTCCCCAGTAATAGACCAGTGACTAAGACAGGTACAAGTGCTTAGAGTGAGAGCTGTGTGAAGGGAACACATGTTGATTGAATCTGAGGATTCTACACGTGTTCTACCCCCAAACCACTCTATCATTTCATGCTGAGAACTGGGAACAGGTTTGAAGCAGATTTCCCTCTATGGTGATTGATGCTCTAAAATCAATCTGTCTCTAGGCCTGGACACTGTCCCTGGCACTCTCCTGTCCTCCCTGTGAATGCCCTTCCCCAATATGTCATCCCGTTTCCTATTGGATTCTTCTCTGATTAGGACCCTATTCCCACTTCCATTATGTCCCTGGCTCTCTATAATGAGGCTTAAATCGTTATTTGCACGGTCCCTTTTCTAATTGTATTCGTTTGAATCAGCCTTTCATTTCCTTCTGATCTGTCTTCGTATTTTCAGTTTTCAGTATAGGATGAAGCCAAGGGATCCACAACCTCATCTGCCTGTGATTTACCATGGAAGCTCAGGTACTAGATACAATCCAACTGGGACTTTTAGTTATTGAATTGGCAGAGGCCGGGTATGAGAGTCGTGACTACTGCCAGCTTTTATGACTTATTTAAGATTTACTCTTCTGTCATTCCTGAACCTGATCTGATCGACTGGTTCCGTATGCAGTGCAGACATCACCACAGTGAACCTGATCTGATCGACTGGTTCCGTATGCGGTGCAGACATCACCACGGTGAAGACGTTGGAAACTCAGTGTTTCTACTGACAATTTGGTCACTTACTTGTAATGACATAGGCCAAAATCTGAGTCATTCTTTGACATCGTTTGTCAGGATTATAGAATCGATTCTTCAAAAAGGGAAAGTTGTTATAAATATATATAAGCACTTGAAATGTAAATCAAAACATGCCAGATATATAGATTGTCAGAATGATGAGACTGTGATGAAATGGCCATGAAATTATATCTGGTGCCAGTGTGGAGCTGAAGGAAGAAACTGGATGTGGGGCAGAGTTGTTGGAGAACATTGCATCTGTAGAGCACATTATAGTCCTACAGAAAGTCAGTGTGATCATTGCTGAGCAGTGGAAGGAGCTAGAATGTGTTTTCCTGTTTGCTTTCTGTGTTTCATCAGAACAATATTGGGATGTTTTTCTAAAAAGATGTAGAGTAGCTCCCTCAGCTAAGTAAAGGTTTATCTAATAATCCTCCACTTAGAGAAATAACCTAAAGAGGATGTTTTACCATCCATAGATATTCCTGCTCAGATGGCCACAAGAAAAAAATAACGCTCACCAGAATTGAAGACGGCAGATTACCATCCTTGCAAATAGCCCCGAGAGAATTAGAGAAGAGGCCACCAGTAGTTGAGGCTGGAGTCTTGGGAAGCACATGGTCACAGCAGGTGGGCGTGCCCCATTGAAATATCCGACTTAGGAGAGAGCGTCTTCTAACTCTTTTCTCTGAGTCTGAGGAGAATGGAGATCATCACTTCAATAGTCCGATGGTCTCTCAGTAGAGTACCATAACGCGTGCATAAATAGGTTACATATGTTAAGGAGTTAAACCTGAACAGGCATGTCATGTAGAAGACGGTTGGAATTCCACCAAATACCTTTATTTACCTGTTCACTTGGCTTTTGGGGAGTTTACTCTTTAAATAAACTCAGCTCACTGTACATGGCACTACACAGGAGTGTAGCTGATCCTGGCTCTGGAACCTCACGGTAAGTTGGCTACTCAAAACTGTAGATAGCCGGGCGGTGGTGGCGCACGCCTTTAATCCCAGCACTCGGGAGGCAGAGCCAGGGGGATCTCTGTGAGTTCGAGGCCAGCCTGGTCTACAGAGTGAGATCCAGGACAGGCACCAAAACTACACAGAGAAACCCTGTCTTGAAAAACCAAAAAAAACCAAAATTATAGATAAGTGTATCTTATTTGGAATTGATACAGAAGTCAAGAAGCAAGTAAGGACCATGGCAGGGAATTTTGAAACCGGGGATATTGAACACATGGAGAAAAGGTAATAATGTAACACAAAGCTTGAATAGAGTAAGTATGGGAATGCAGGATAGAAGAGTGTGCAGATGAGGAAGGATAATTAATCCTAAACATGCTTTGATGATGTGCTATGGAAATACATAGACTCTATTGATGGGCTCCCAGAAACAGATACATCAATTTGAAACGGACCTGATGCTTTATCTGATCTCTACCGTGCTATGCACAGTACTGGAAGAGAGAAGTACTCAACAGAAATACCCAGCTGTAACCCTGGGAACTACAGTAGCATGAGGCCTGGCAGATACAGCCAGCGGGGCAACAGTGGTACAACTGGCATGGGACCCGCCAACCACGTTCTGAGTGGATTTCAGATTCAGTGGGCAAGATGGACCCTTTACCTGGCACCAGTTTTGGTACATGGATCAGAGGCCATAGTGGAAATATTAGTAGTATTAAGATGCTAAATGTGAACAGTATTAAAGTGACTCCTAATTGTGTGATTTTATACTCGTAGATCAGTGCACCCCACAACCCCTGTCAGAGAAGTGATGGTGATCAGCACAGATTCCCACAACTGGCCAATGTGCTGAAGATAAGTCTCTTTGGAAGGCAGATCCCTAAATATGGGGTCTATATTATATTCCCTCCTATCAAACCTCAAGGATCAGCACAAAAAGAGGGCAGAAAGATGGTCAAAGCCATTAACAGTTTTGTTATGGAGTCAACAAAATCTTTTCAATACTCAGTACATCAGTTGCAGCTGTGAACTCTAACAGCTGTTAGAGTACGTCCAAGGACCTTTCCCATCAAGGAAGGAGGTATGTAGAGAGGCCCATGCCTACCTGAGGCAATGTAGGCAATTGACAGCTGCTACAATGTTGAGATTCTATTTTCCTTAAGGTGTGGCCTATAGTAGAGGTAGAGCATACCCCAGGGAATGACCCCTACCAAAGGGCACATAGACAACACAGATTGGATTTGATATTGTTATGTTTTAAGACAGTGGTTCTCAATCTTTGGGTCAAGACGCCCTTGGGGTCACATTTCAGATGTTTGTATTATGATTCATAACAGTAGCAAATTTACAGTTATGAAATAGCAACTAAATAACTTTATGGTTGGACTCACAACAACATGAGGAACTGTATGTATTAAAGGGTCATAGCATTAGGCAGGTTGAGAACCACTGTTTTAAGCGGGGAAAGAAGAGGAAAACAGTTGAGTGTGTTGATAGAAGAGGAGTTGATCTTGGAATAGTTTAAATGTGATAAAACACTATATGAAAATATCAAAGAATTAATAAAATGGTATACTATTTATACAGTTCACCAAAAGCACTACTCAGCTCAATGCATGGACACAGAACTCTTTGTTATAATAATGTTCATCACAGAACTCTGTGTCAGCCCTAATAATGTCAACCCTAACATAGATGGGTTTAGGGAAATTGGATAGAACAGGAACACTTTGCTATTCTCCATTTGGGACAGCAGCCTCTAGAAGGTCCATAGGCCTGAAGCCAGGCTATCATTCTACTGGCCTTCACATCCCACCAACGTGAAAGGAGATAACACAGCCACCCTCACATCCTAGAGAATTTTCTTCATGTTGACAAGTACAGATGTTTGATAACTAGATATGGGCAAGGACATTTTGAATACTTTTAAGCAATGTTCATCTTTCTTCTTAACCTGATTTTATTATTTCTAATCTGCCTAAGTGTATTTTAATCCTTAGCTTTAATTGTGTTCAGAGGAAGGCTCTGTCCCTTGATTTTGAACCAAATACTTAGTCCTCAATTGAGAAAGACAGAAACAACACTCAACTGGTGCTTCCTGAAATACACCTCCAGTCGTCAGGCTGACAGAACAGGTTTTAGGCGAGGTGATCATTAAGATCCCTGTGACCAAGGAAACATGTGCTACTGCGTCTGGAAACATTGGGTGATTAAATAATCCTAGAAAAATTTATTGACTTCCCACTGTGCAAACTGAGAGATGAAGAATGAAAAATCTAAATTAGCTTTGCTTTACACATAATGGTCACGACGAAAATATATTAAGGAGAATCTCTGTTCTTGTGAAAATATTTCCCAAACTGTTACCATCTTTTATTGGAAAAGTAATGTCAGTTGGGGTTCGTTGTAATAATTGCAGAAAAAAGGCAACAGAAGGATTTAAAAGCCAGAGAACCTGAACACTTACAGGGAAGAGACGCACTGCTCTGCTGATGGCCTCTGGGTGTCTCCTTGGGCTTTAGGATGAATCGTCCTGGCACGTGATGGGCCTGCAGCTCCTGCACCACCTTTTGGATGTTGAGATAAGCGGTGTATTTGCTTGGACCCAGGGCCATAAATGCATCATTTCCAAGTTCACTCATCTTGATAGCATATGGATTCTCATGTCCTATACAGAGAAAATTCTCAGCTTAGATTGATGCAAACTGTGCCGAGTAATCACACCTACCTGCTTGCGAGTGTGTGCACACACTGGGGGTGGGCAACAGTTCTCCCCAGGCTCCTGGAGTAAGAAGGCTGCTGCTCCTAATGAATCTGCTGCCCTCACTGAGGAGACTCTAGGGAAGCAGGTGTCTAAACACAGAGCTTTAAAACACAGAGGAAAAAAAATCTGAACATGTTGGCTTGCTTGGAATGCACAGACCATTAGAGCACCATAGAGCAGAGTTTTTGTATGATTGTCCTTTAAACTCTTTATGGTGTTCTAGTTTCCCGACATCCACTGGAGTTTTACTCCTAAGGGGCATCACTTACATCTCCTCCCTCTGTGCTAATCCTTTTAAATACTCATCCTTCCCATCTCAGTGATTACTCACAAAAAGAGGAAACATGTTGGGTTTGTATTGGCTAATATTTTTCCCACACCCCACTTTGCAGTATTGGGTTTGTTCGTTTTCACTTGTTATTCCTCCCTGTACAAAGAATTCTCCAAGATGCTGTACTAAAAATAGAGATTGCCTTTTTTTAGGAATTGAGTGAAACTCTCTTTCATCCATTTCTCCTTCATCCCTGCTGTCACAGTGGGCGCTTGCATTTCCTTCTGTCTGGCACAGATGCAATGCTGCATTTAGCCAAATATTGCAGCAGCACTCAGTGTTTAGGGCACAGGAAGCTGTAGAATGAACATAGTGACAGAAGCCTGGGCTCCAGGTCAATCCGACGTTGATGCATACTGGAGAACTGAGGGTGTTTGGGAAAGGTGGCTAAAAATGGCTGCTAAGGAGCCACCGTGAATAAAAGGTTCTTAGGATATCTCTGGATAGCTGTGGTGTATGAAGCTGCTACAAGATTTACTATCAAGATCTTAACAAATTAATGCATACTATTTCATTAATATGATTGTCGTCTGTGTTTGCTTTCTCTGCACATATTTTCCTTTGACTAGACTTACAATTGTATCAACAGTACAAAGACCAACAATAGCCAAGTTGTTGGCTAATGCCTGTATTTCTAGAACACAGGATTCTGAGGTAGAGAGTGGAAAAGTGTGAAGGCCACCCTAAAAAACAGAACAACATCTTGTCCAAAACAAAATCCAAAAATGCTGTGAACTGAGCGGTGCAGTCTGCCTTAGTGTTGTCCTGGGTACTGCTTGTATCTAAGAGGGACAGCAAACATTTATTTTCTATTTATCCTATTATCCAGTATCACTTCATTTAACAACTTTCTAAATTGTATTACAATGTCTGCAAAGATGTGTTTCAGGGACAAAATAGAAGCAGGATCTATCTATCTATCTATCTATCTATCTATCTGTCTGTCTGTCTATCTATCTATCTATCTATCTATCTATCTATCTATCTATCTATCCACAAGTAACAACAATTAACAATAGAACAACAAAAATGAAGCCATGAATATAAAAGAACAAGGACTGGTGTATGGGAGGGTTTGGAGGTGGGAAAGGGAAGGTAGAAATGTTGTAATTATGTTTTATCTCAGGTCGAGATCAAATCAAACAACGCAAACCTAAGAGAAGACAGATTCCCACAGATGCCCTCACCGCACTACCACGGTTCCAATGTCTTGAAGTGAAGTCAATCACAGTGAAGTCAATTCATAAGTCAGTCTTTGTTGTAGCTAAATTATTCTGATAGTTATTTTATAACATTTGACCAAGAACATATTTTGCAAAATACAATAAAATAAAGGACATGTTTCTCATTCGGAAAATATTTGAAGGGTGTGAATATTATCTCATTTCATTTTTGTGATGAGCAAAAGCCCTGATAGGAACAGATGTACAATGAAGATCCATCACAGACTCACGGCCACGGCTGGGTTTTAGCTTCTAAGAAGCAAATGTAACAATAATGAGAACATGAACACTAATTGTGGAAAGTGAATTTCTTAACAGTTTCTTTTTTTGTTTTTTCATCCAGAAGAATAGAAAATCTCTGAGTGCTTTTTTTATTGTAATGCAAAAAACTTCACATTTTCCCTGTAAGTAACCAGACGTTGTACATGAAGAGATTTATCATACACAGAAATCCACAACTGGTCAGAGAAGCCATGGCTGTGGCGTGCCCACCCCACCTGGTACACGCGCAGTGCGACATGACTGTGGAGTGCCCACCCCACCTGGTACATGCGCAGTGCGACATGACTGTGGAGTGCCCACCCCACCTGGTACATGCGCAGTGCGACTCCTCCACCTAAAGCTCAGCAAACTTCCTTGGAGGAGAAGGAAAGACTCTAAGAGTCAAGGAGCAGGATGGTGACGGGAGATTGTGTCTTCTGTATGTGAGGGGAGCTGAACCCACAAGATCTCAACAACGTGATCACCGAAATGGGACTTGAAAGAATGAAAAGACCACCTGACAGGCCAATGTGTGGGGGAATATCCAGTAATATCTTCCACTTAGAGGAAGAGCCGTAGGCAATGAATGCTTGCAGAGGGAGAGAGACTCTGTTCTTGAGGGATGAGCTCCTGAGAGGTCATCCAATCTCAAGTAGACTGGACACACATGTGAGCAACACTAAGTAGGCTTTATTTAGGTTTGTATGCTTATATATATGGCGAGAATAATTAAAGAAGAAAAGTTAGTGTATCTGATGGGGAATGAAGTGGACACGGCAGAAGTCTGAGGAGCCAGAGAAAGGGGCTGAAAATGACATAAATCCATTACTCATATAAAATTCTGAATAAACAATTCCTCTCAGAAGCTGAAGTTAAGTTCCTGTTGCTGAAGCCACCTTACACTTTGGACAAGGGACTCTGGGGATTTGAAATGCATCTGACCTGAAAGCCTCCTCTGTTTAGACCAGTGGTTCTCAACCTAGGAGTTGGGACCCCTTTGGGGGTTGATAACCCTTTCAGAGCACTTGTATAAGACCATCAGAAAACACAGATTTTTACATTATGATTTATAGCAGTAGCAAAATTACAGTTATGAAGTAGCAATGAAAATAAATTTATGGTTGAGGGTCACCACATCGTGAGGAACTGTATTAAAGGGTCGCTGCATTAGGAAGGCTGAGATCCACTGGTTTAGACTTTTTGTAGTACTGGCATGCATTCAACAGTTCACTCAGCCAAAGGCCTATGAACCACACCGATGACCAGCATGGCAGGATATCTGTAAGGCTGCTGTAGTAGCACTTGTATCTTGGTGGTACCCAATGGCTGTCTAATTGGAGCGAAGGTCTGGTAAACATGAGGGAAAGTGTGCCAGATACTGTAAACTTAGCCAGCTCCATAGTAATGTGGTCATGGATATTACAGGAGAACATACTGTTGCCATTTTTTTTTAACTAAAATAATGCCAACTGAATTCTAAACATTTATCTAAGCATCTACAG